GAACTGAAACAAATATATTCATAATGTTTCTATCTTAGACCTTTTTTTAAATGCCTCTGAGCATCATCTACTTGAGGGACGTGGTGGCACTGTGGGCTAAACCGCAGAAGCCTGTGCTGCAGGTCAGAAGACCAGCAGTCGTAATATTCATAATGTTTCTATCTTAGACCTTTTTTTAAATAGGCCTGAGCATCATCTACTTGGGATTCTCTTGTTTTATCTTCACAAGGCCTGAATTAAGGTGCTTAGGAGGAGAGAAATTTACCAATCTCTGCTCACTTGGAAAGCTCTCTGGCTATCTGTTATACCGTACTAGGATTTTTCCAGTAAAGCATGTTTGTAGATGGTTACGAAAACCCTGGAAGAAGTCACCATAAGTAAGAATTAACTTGACGGCACATTTATTTTTATTCTTATTCTTATGTGGTTATCACCCACCCTTGATGAGTATAATCAACCAGATTCAAAAGATATTTGGTCTCAAGTGCTCATCTTAACAGAACTGAAACAAATATATTCATAATGTTTCTATCTTAGACCTTTTTTTAAATAGGCCTGAGCATCATCTACTTGGGATTCTCTTGTTTTATCTTCACAAGGCCGGAATAAAGGTGCTTAGGAGAAGAGAAACTTACCAGTCTCTGCTCACTTGGAAAGCTCTCCAGCTATCTGTTATACCGTACTAGGATTTTTTTTCAATAAAGCATGTTTGTAGATGGTTATAACAAAATCTATTCAACAAGAGAAGAAACATGCAGCAGTATATAGTATTAGAACCAGTTAACCTCTGGAAGCTTGTTTGTGGAGAAAAATGTCAAGTGTCACAAAAGCCTCATTTCAGAGAAAGGGTACAGTTGGTATTTCAAAGGGAGAGAAATAGGATGCTGTATGAAGCCAAAAAGAGAAAGAGATGGGGGGGACGTCCATTCATCAAGGAGGGGCCATAGGACAAAAGAGGTCTCCATAGTGGGCACCTTGCCTCCACCTTCACTCTGTCTAAGGGCAGATCTTCAGAATAGCCCTTATGCAAAGTAATGGGCATGGTGAAAGACTAACTGTTTTATATACAAATGATTCCATATCTAGATCATGTGTGCTTAAGCCTGGTTTAAGTTGCTGCTGTTTTGGTATATGGAGCTTGATGCAAGATGGCATCATAATGATCTGTCCAGGTCAACTTGTTATGCCATATCACCAATAGTTCTCAGCTGCATCTGTACATGATTACATGAACCCTGGAGGCCTGTAGTTTCTAAATCATCTTTTAGATACATGAAAATGTTGGAGAAAGGGGCATATGGTGATATATTGGGTGATATAACTGCAGTATTTCCATATGAATAGAACTACGTTCATGACTGTAAACTTTGCACAGGAAGGCTGGTGAAACTGCTCTATCTCTTTGGGTCTTTGCCTGTTATGGACTTTCTTCCTTCTCATAGTATCAGCTACTAACTGTCTTCTTTACAGTATCTGTTAAATGTTATTGACCATTGCAGCTTTGCTTTCATGCCCATTTTATTGGAACTGAAAATAAGAGAATACAAACTGGGTAGCTAGCCAACAACTATAAAAAGTTTATTCATTATGTATTTTTAGTTTGCATTAAAATGAACTTTGGCACAGAACACTGCATAATCCAAGTTCTTATGCTCAAACTATCAGAACGTAAGCAAAATATAATGTGATCCATAACAGATAAATCAGGTTTTAAATTGGATTATCTTTTCTATGGGAAGATACATTAGTAATATAAATTACACTGTAAACCTCAAATCCCTCATCCCTACTTTTGTAGTTGGCTCTTCCACAGCACTCCTTATTCCTTGACATAAATAGAGGTGATAATGGTACTATAAACCTACAATGGATCTTTGCCAGTGCTTCTTACTGACCTTGATCACTCACTCTTGTTTTTCTTCCCTTCTCCAACTGATAGCAGAGAAGCTGCTATTAGTCATCGTGCAGCTGTAATATTCTTCTTTTTTTTGTTGGCAAAACAGAGATTGTTTTGTAAAATAATGAAAAAAATAACAACCATGCCTTGTGCATTTAGAGTTTTAATGTAAATTTCTAGCAGCAATAGCAGGAGAAAGAGAAGCAACTCTTTCTTCTTGTGTGTGGTTTTCACCACATGTGCAAACACAAAAGAGTTTTATTATTTATTATTAAATTTATACTCCGCCCATCTAGACACATGTCTAAAATATAAAACCACAAGGAATATTCACAGTTACATCTTTGTGCTTTGAATGCAAGAGGGCATCATTGCCATCTACTTAAGATCTCATTGGCTCTCTTCTGCCAATAAAAAAACATGTCAAAAGTAGCTGGTGGTTTCTAGAGCATTTCTTTGAATGGCTGATAATTTGGAGAGGCAGAAAGACAGGCAAATAAATGGATAGATGCTGATATAGATAAGACCCCTAGAGCCCCTTGTGTTTACTAGGGACAGGCATGAACCACCGAACTGGCCATTTGTGCTAGTTCATTTTTCAGCCAGACAGGCATTTGGCATTTTCCAACCCTTCCTCCTTTGGCAGGCACCCATGCCAAGGCAGTGCCCCAGCTTCCCCTGTACCACCTCCTCTGAGTAGTGCCTCTGAGTGGGTATCCACTGAAGCAGGCAGGGCTGAGCACCTATTCGGTCAAAAAAATGAACCAGCATGAACTGCTAGTTCAGCAGTTCATTGTCATCTCTAGTACTGAAAGGTTACTTTAAAATGGCCTCTGCAGTTACTGAGATTATTACCAGTATCCCTTCGTGGCAAGTAGATATGGGCACAAACCAGGAAAATCACGGTTCATTATAGTTTGTGATTCATCTCTAGAGGGAGGATTTTGATGACATGTCATTTTTTTCCCTGCAACCTATGTTACATAAGACAAACTTTTATTGCCATTGAAAAGTACAGAATGCTTTAGACCAATGAATGTACAGAAAACTACAGAATGCTTTAGAAAAACTGTGGAGAGTAATAAAACCATAGTCGAATTGAATTAGGAAAAGTGGTTCGGCCGTGGGCTATACCGGGGAGATAGCCTCTCTGATTTGAATCACAGTATGTAAAAAGGAAGCAACATAGGTAGTGACATGGTTAATTTTCCCCTGGACTAAAAAGCAGACCTTGGCATTATCAGAGCGCCCTTGATAACCAGAGAGCAATGGATCTAAAAATCTTGCTTGAGGGCTATTATAAAAAGGGCAGTCCAAAAGAACATGTTTGAGCTTATGGGTGGCTTGAACATGCTTATGAGTAATGTGAAATGTCATAGACATCCTTCTTCTGTTCACCATTCACAAAATACAAACCTTGAACTTTCACAAGCTTTCCGACAAAATGAACTGTTTCGGGATTTGTGTGATTTTGGATTTCCAGGAGCTATAGAATAGCCACCACATGAGTTAGAGATGCCAAACCCAGAGAGAGTCTTCATTCACTCTAAGTTTGATGAAGATTGGATTTGGGGAATCTGAGTTATGGCTCACATACAAATTGCCAATGCCAATAATATTTCATCGTTTCATTTTGGGCAGAAGTGTTTCCTGAACCACCCCAAAACAAACCTCTTTCCTCTCCACTGTCAGTTTACAATTTGTTCACTTCTATATGAGGGGGAGGGGAGAAGAGGGTGTATAACCCAGATTATAAAATAAGGTCTTGCGACCCTACTCAGTTCATGAGTTGTTGCTGTTTCTATTATCCTATCAAGCAAGTGATGGGGGTATTTTAATACATGTCACACAGAGGTATGGCAAATCTCAAAATAAAACAGTTGACAGAGGTGATATTTAAGCGAAAGGTGGGAATAAATGCTTTGTCTAGGCAGCTGAGGAAAAATCCAGAAGAAACTATGAGACTAGAACTAATATTATTATATACTATCTACCTGAGAAGAAGAGCCAGATTACAGCTATAGATAGCTTGTTTTTAAAGCTGAAATCATATTGTTCCAGAAACATAATTTAGGCAGATGTTTGCATCTAAGAAACCAAATGAAGCCCATGTTTCGCTCCTGAAGACCAATTACTAAACAAAGCAAGCCAACTTGCCAATAAAATGAAGTGAGAAAAGATCTTGCTGTGACAATAACACATTTTCAGCATATCAGGCAAAAAGAAAAGGGGGGGAAGGCAAAAACGTTGCGGCACCTTAAAAAAAAAAGGCAAAAACATTGTGGCACCTTAAAGTTAAATGCTGCATTTGTTGATTGGTTGGTTGGTTAGTTAGCTAAAGCTTTTTGACATCCTAATTTTTGATTTGAAAAGTTCTTTAGGTACTTACATAGGAATTTAAAACAAGAACTTCACTATTTTCTTAAACAGCAAGGTATACTACAGGCAATTTAAAAATCTGCAAAAAGGAATTAAGGGGGAAAGTGTTAAAGTTTTTTTTAAAAGATCTGAAGTTTTATCTTTGAAAAACAGATGTTTGAATACCCTTGGCCTTGCCTGGTTTTATTGGGCAGTCATCATCACTATATTTTAATGGGAGCTTTTGTGGACAAGTCCACTTCTTCACACGTAAGAGTGGGACTACATGGCAAATATTTATACATTTTCAGCGGTTAAGGATATTCTTCTAATGATGGGTGATGTTTAATATACAGATCAGTCCTAAATCATGTAATGAAGTCCCCGGGTTTATTTCTAGGCTCTATTGGTGCTGTTTTTCAAGCTTGAGGTCTGGGATGCTCAATATTTAGAAATCCACCTTCTGCCACCTCCCATGTGACCATGTGACAAATCATCTTCAAAATGATTTGTCATGTTCCCCCACCTTCTTAAGTTGCGTGATGCCTACAAAGAAACAGGCCTTTTCTACAGAAGCCCTCTCCCCTATGTGTGGAATTATCTTCCAGCTCTGGATGAATAAAGTCCTGTGCAGAGTTTTCAAGGTTTCCTATTTTTCTTTCCCGATAGCTCTCCCCATAGAATCATGCTTTGCTTGATTGTTTATGTCATAAATAGGCACTCTCTCTAAAAGAATCTATGCAGCCAGTAGGAACTTGGGTGGGTTGTAGACACAGGGAGAGAGACTGATGTTGATTGTGAAGGATGGAGGTTATTGCTTCACAGCAGGACAATAACTAGAGAGGGAGATCTAGACTATCAGCTCGCTAGTCTCTTGTAAATCACTTTGGACCTGTTCCAATGGCTGGAGAAACACACAGCACTGGGATTGAGAACTGCCCAGCTATAAACCCACGCCATCTGAGAGAACAAAGATGTCCCAGGGCTGAGTTTTTAGATGAAGATGAAGACGGACGGAAGCGCCGGATCAAGAAAAATGTGGGGGACCCAACCATTGTGAAGTCCCCCAGTGATCACAAAGAATACCGGTAAGCAAAGAACATAGAACAGGACAAGAGGCAAACTGCACTGAAGATACCATAAGAGCTTTTCATAATTTGATTTGAGAAGCTCCAAGCTAGTGTGAGACAATAGATAGGATGACAGACTAGGACTGAGGAGACCTGGATTCAGAACCTTATTTGGCCATGGAAACTCTCTGAGGGGCAGTACTCATGAAACCACTCATCAAATGTGTCACAGATCTTGAAGAGTTTATTAGGGAAACCATCAGTTGAATGCAGCTCGAAGATACACAGCATAACATCCCACGCTACCTTAACAACAAAATCAGACAGTTGAATAAGGCATATTCACTTGATATCCAAAGATATCATGGCTAGTTGTGGCTAATTTTTTCAGAGACAGATAGAGAGACAGAGATGGTGGGGCCCAAGACCTCTTGGAAGCCTGTGTACCACGACCCCATATTTCAGGGGAAAGGAGTCAGCTGTGGGTATTCCTTGGTAATGGGGAAAGATTCTAGAAATATTGCGTGATAGTCTTATTTATCATGAGTTCTTGAGTTCTTTTTTTTTAAAATCAATTTCAGCTGTTCATAGTCTGCGTGGGTTTCCACCATTCTGAATGATTTAGCAGTACAGCATAAAAGAACAAAGGCAAGGGAAAAGGCTTTTAGTACAGACTGTTATACCTTCTCCCATTGTGTTGGACATAGTGTACTGTTACACCATCTCAAAAATGATACAGCAGAACTGGAAAAGTTGCAGGAGGAGCCAAGGAGAATGATCAAGGGATTCGATGAGTCAACATGTTGATTCAATTCAAAGGCTTTCATTGCAGGATCCAGCGGTGGTTGTGGGTTTGTCAGGCTATTTGGCCGTGTTCTGGAGGAGCCAAGGAGAATGATCAAGGGATTAAATGAGTCAACATGTGGATCTTTTTTTAAGTTCTAGAAGAGGGGGATTCATTATTAAAAGAAGTAAGTGTGGAAAATAACTAATGGGAAGACATGTTAAAAGTTTACACAATGCAAATTGTAACCCTATAAAAAAATTTCCCTCCTTCTTTTATAATATTGGATCTTGGGATTACTCAGTAAATTCTACTGGCTGAAAATAGATTCAAAATAGACAGACAGTTCCATAAATATTGGAAGTTAGTTATTTAGGAATGAAAACTACCAACCACTTAGTGTCTCCACACTGTGCAAAAGACAGGACAATGGAATTAACTGATATTTACATACTGAAGAATCTTGGGATCTGTAGTTTTGATGAAGTATCCAGAATTCCTGTTATTATTCTGGGAGACTAGAGCTCTCTAGCCTTCAGTGGATGAAATCCACTAGTAAGTCGCTACTACGGTACACCCAACAAATCATTGTAATTTATGGAGGAATTGACTCCCCTATTCCTCACTAATGCAATGAGCTACTCTACTTTAGACTTACTACTGGATGTCATCCACTAAATTAAAAATCTCAGGCCTCCACAGCTTGGCAACTAATACAATATCAAGCTGCTATATTGTAGTTACAGTATAGATACACTCTAAGCAAATAGCATTGGGAAGAATTCTGTTTTTATCTGCTCTGCTAAGGAAGATGGTGGACAAAATGGTGGTTGAGAAGTGCTATGTTAGAGTCTGTATGTGCATATGTGAGTATGTGTGTCATCAGAAACACCTGGTTTTATCAGTTACTTTAAAGAGAAACGTAGTATGAACACCTAGGGATTTTCCAAATAGGGCAACATTTCCACTGCAATTGGTTATGTCTAATTGTCAATAAGTGGGAAGAAGGTGGGCCTTCTTCTCAGAAATTCTATATATCAATTTAGAAATTCATTGCCGTTTCTGAGATTTATTTCCAGAGACAGAGAGGTTTCTTTATTTATCAACATATTGTTGAGCTAATTGAAAAGTCTCTGCCAGAGAAAAGATACCTTACTGAAAACTCATATTCCATCCATGGAAGAAAACTTTGAACAAAAATGAAAAGCAAAAACTCAATGACAACACAATGGCTTTGGGAGAAACAAACAAACAAAAGCTTTAAAAAGTATGGAAGAAGGCATCAGCCTTATCTCTATATGTTTTGTGTCATCTAGATGGTGGCAAAGAACCAAAATCAGTAGAATTCAATGTGTTCTCAAAGATTTTCATTGCAGGATCCAGTGGTGGTTGTGGGTTTTTCAAGCTATTGGGCCGTGTTCTGGCCAAACAGCCCGAAAAACCCACAACAACCACCAGTAGAATTAGTTTACACCAACTTACCTTGCCTGGAAAAGCCCCTATATGCAGAAAGATTTATTCTTGTGGTGATATATAGTCATAACAGCCCCTCATTTATTTATTTTTTTAAAAAATCTGGCTTAATATTCATTTCCTGCCCCTCATAACAGCCCCTCATTTATTTATTTTTTAATCTGGTTTAACATTCATTTCCTGCCCTATAGAAATCTGGGACATTTTGGCCAAATCCTGTCACATATGTAGTAAATCATACTAGAGTATACCTATTGAATCAAAGGGGTTTTGATGAGTCAGTTCCTATATAAGTTCCATTGATTTACTATGCTAAAGTAAGTCACATTTATAATAGACAGATTTGAAACAGTGGAACATAAAAAGGAGTCAACTCACCAAAATCCCAGCTGATTTAATGACTCTACTGTAGGGAGGGTCATTAATCCTGTATGCTAAACAACAGGATTTTGGCCCATGTATTGTGGCAAGGGCCAGCAATTACTAATACAAAATGAGAATCATCCTATAATAACCAAGAATCATGTTGGTTATTGTTAAAAAAAAACTGTTAAGCAATTTAATTGCAGGTAAGGCACAACAGAGATCTAAAACACAGGCCAAGAATCATGTTGGTTATTGTTAAAAAAATTGTTAAGCAATTTAAGTGCAGGTAAGGCACAACACAGGTTTCCTTCATTTTTTAGGTTTATTCAGTTAAAAAATGGCTTGAATGCACTGTTGATTTCTGATCTAACTGTTGATGACTGCAATTCTTCTGAAACATCAGAAGAGGAACGAGAGGAACAGATGTCCTCTGAAAATGATACAGATGAGGAAGCAGACCCCGTTGCAGGAAAAGATAGTAGTAATGAAGATGAGGAAAAAGATGGGAATGGAGAAGAATTTGGAGATGGATCTGGAGGGGGAGAAGCTGGCAGTGATGCAACCATTGAAGATTTTGGTGGAGAAGTACTTGACGCTGCTGTTGGAAATGTACGAAGAAGGGGAACACTGCATGAGGACCCAGATATATATGAAGAACTGGTGAAACAAGAAGATGCAAATAAGATGGGCAGTACAGAAAAACAGGTATGTTAGTTAGAAGCATACGAAAACATAATCGTAAAAACAAAAATGTCCATTTTGGTCTATTAAAAATAAACAAAATCAAATACCCACAATTATTTTATTAGGTTTAAGTATTGTTCACAAAGACGTGCAAGAATCCTCCAGAGTTCAAAAACTTGCACTGGAATTATAGTTGATCCTATTAAAAGCACTGACAATGAAAAAGGCACAGGGAATTTCTGTTAGGGTATTGTAGCTTAGACACCATGTACAAAGACCATTCAGATAATGGCAGGTTATATGTGGGCCATAATCCAGCAGGCCTGGCCTCAGCACCAGGGCCTGAGATAAGTGTGCTGAGGTCCTTATTTTGCAAAACCATTTAGACACTGGGTGACTAGTGGAGCATATAAGTGTAAGGTTTCCAGATCTCATGAGGCTACTCAGGGAACTGCCATGCATTTCTGTGTCTTCAGGTGGGAAAACAATTCTTAGGGCAAATGGTTCCAAAAGAGGAGAAAGGTTGGATTTTAATATGTGCAATATCTTTAATGTCTGAGTGTTCATCTGTATCCCAGTTGATACTAAACCTGGCTGGTTCAAAACAATTCAGGTCATATATGTATTATGTACATAATATTTATTTAGAAGGTAGTGAAGGAAACATATGGTCTGTATCACTCTCTCAGCTACACAAACGGAAACACATATTGTTTCCCAGTGGTTACACAAGGGGCTGCCTCTGGTGACACCATAAGGTCCTACCCTTTGTTTAAGGGTGTTTGTACTGAAATTCTCACTGGAAGGACAGAATCTGAAGCTGAGGCTCCAGTACTTTGACCATCTGATGAGAAGAGAAAACTCCCTGGAAAAGACCCTGATGTTGGGAAAGTGTGAGGGCAAGAGGAGAAAGGGACGACAGAGGATGAGATGGTTGGACAGCATCATCAAAGCTACCAACATGAATTTGACCCAACTCCGGGAGGCAGTGGAAGAGAGGAGGGCCTTCTGTGCTCTGGTCCATGAAGTCATGAAGAGTCGGACACGACTTAACAACTAAACAACAAGTACTGAAATTTCAGGCAGTGGGAAGCTGCTGGAGCAGTTGCACATGACTGCTGCATTGTTACATTTAATAAAGCCATGTCCAATGTATGGCAACTCTATGAAATAACTACCTCTTAACCACCCTCCCATTAACAGGCCTGCTCAAGTTTTGCGAACACAAGGCCATGGCTTTTAAATATTAGCCTACATATAAAAAAATCCCTGTAGGTGCAAAACTAACACATTCCTTCCTTAGATGCACTTTTTGCTCTGCTTATTTATTTATAGTGAGTTTAGATAGACAGATAAGCAAGCAGATAGGGTTAGAGAAAAAAACTGTATTTTCTCTCCTGCCATCTAAAGAGGTATGACATCAGCATTCTTGATGCATATGTTACTCCAGACCTAGTCTGTGATTCTTAGAACTGCAGAGCTGAAAGGGACCCTTTATGAATCATAAAGTCCAGGAGTTATTAAAGAGGCACAATGGGGAATCAAACTCCCAACCTCTGGCTCCATGGCCAGATACCTAAATCACTGAGCTATCCAACAATTCTCACCTAAGTTTGACTGCAAGGAAAATTAAAGAATGTGGTATTATAACTTCTGATCTGTTTTGCTCTTTGTGGGAGATGCATGGTGAAATAGGGTAGCATAGTAATACAGTGGGGTCTTGACTTGAGAACTTAATCCGTATTGGAAGACGGTTCTCAAGTCAAAAATCTGTAGGTCAAGTCTCCATTGACCTACAGTGCATTGAAAACCGATTAATCCCGTAACAGGCCGTTTTTGTTCCATTTTGGTTTTTTTCTGGTCTGTAAGTCAATTCTCAGGCTGCAAGTCAAACCTAAATTTTGCGGCCAGAGAAGTCTGTAACTCAAAAAGTCTGTAAGTCAAGCCGTCTGTAAGTCAAGGGTCCACTGGTAGTGCTTGATTTCTTTTTATACGGGGAAAATGTTACTTTGTTTTGCTTTGTGATTTAATGGCCACTCTCTCTCTCTCTCTCTCTCTCTCTCTCTCTCTCTTTCTTTACTAAAGTCTGCAGCTGCCCTTGCTGTTTGTGTTGGCAGTTTCTGCGATCCGGATGACTTACCTGGATTAGCTCATTTTTTGGAACATAGTATGTACCCGTTTCTGTTTCTTTCTTTGCCACCCTCTCTGTCTGTTTTCGAAATCAGAAACAAAATGATGTCTCATTTAATGATTTAGAATTCAGGCTCCCAGAATCAAACCAGGATGATATGCCTCTGGGATTTTTCAATAGTTTCTTTTAATTGCATTATGTTAATTGTATAATCCTTTAAACGTAATAAAATGAACTTTAAAACAATTTATTGATCTGCAGTAAATTAACCCAGGAACTAATAGTTGATACTAACAAAACCAAAGAAAGTGTCAGTGTTGATGGATCCTGCTATGTTTGGGAGTTTGAGGACCTATCAAAATCATTTAAAAATGCATTAGCCATTATTACTTGTATAAACCTGTATTTTTAGTGTATAGATCTGTGTTTTATTAAATGATTTAATTATCTGTTGACTGTAAATAACGATGATAGCCACTCCCTGCCATTATTGATTAGTTTCCCAAAGCCACATGTTTGTTTTTACATGTTACTTTAAGACTAACATCTTATTAAGGTGTTACCAATTAGTCACTTTTTTGTTAGTTGCATTTTTTGTAAATAAACATAGGCCAAAATCCTGTTGTTCAGCATAGTAAGTTGCAACTACAGTAGGCTAATTGAATCAGTGGAGATTTGGTGATTCAACTTCTCTGTAAGTTCCATGGAGTCAATAGGCCTACTCTACCTGCACCTTAGATTTCAGCTGTAGAAACAGAAACCTGGCCCCAAATAGCCATCTGCCCAAATGACTCCACGAAAAGCCAGCATTTTAGAGGTAATAAATAAACACTACCCATTACACCAAAAGAGTAATAGTGCTGCCAGGTATTATTATTTCACAACAGGAATGGCTTTGTTGTTCTTGTTATCCTGAACAATAACACTTTACAGGTGTGATGGTATTTGTAATGTGTTATTTCCAAGCTCAGGGTCTTCTTAGCTGCCCAAGGCCTTTCCGGTATCAGCTCAACTATTGCTTCCAGTTTGAGATTTGCCACAGTGTAACACTGTAGGCATTAAAAGCACAAAACAAATATTTGGCTTAAACACACAAGATGTCCATTTGTGAGGTCTACAAAGCTTTTCTACTATATGATCGCCTATTGAAGAGTCTTCTGGGAATGAAGCAATCCATGTACATACGTATCAGAGCATACAAGTAGCATTGGATTGGGTCATGTATGCATAGGGTGGCCTAGATCTATCGGAATCACTTGCCATAGCCAGGAGGGATGGTTGAGGGGCCTAACAACTAGAGAGGCCTGGAAAGAAAGAACAAGAAACCGGGCCGTCTCGGCAGTGGCCCCTTGGCTATGGAATAACCTCCCATCACTTGGCTCTTCGGGCAGGCCTTCCCTCCTATCAATACTTGACTTTATTCTTATTATAATTTTCTGTTTTCCCATTTTTGAGCATTGTAACATGATTGTTTTGAACTGTTTTAATTGTTTTAGTTTATAATGTTTAATGGAACCCGCCCTGAGTAGACTTTGTCTAGGGGGGCGGGATAGAAATCTAATCAATCAATCAATCAATCAATCAACCAACCAACCAACCAACCAACCAA